GGAGTCCCAGGGCTCTATCTAGTAGATCTTCCTTCTTCACTGGTTTAAGCTCAATACACACTGCCCGAGCCCTCCGGCTCACACCCTTATATATCAACTCCCCCGCTGAGGGGTGGGGCCGCGGGGGATCCCAGCTCCGTGTCAGCCCCCCAGGCTGAACGGTGCGGACGTCGCTGTGAGCACCTCCCCGCGCACAGACATAGCCACGCCCAGTGTGTTTGTTTACCGTCCGACACAACTGTATAACACCCCCTCCGTAACACCCCTACACATGTTAGACTATTTGAGGTTCGTGAATTTTATAAATAAAATTATACCTGTCAGAAATAGACAGGCCAAGTCCCCAAATTAAACTATACTTTTCTCAAAACACTATAATTCTCAAGCTTTAAATAAAGATTGAATTATCATTAAATTTATATATACAGTGAGGGAAACAAGTATCTGATCCCCTGCTGATTTTGTACGTTTGCCCACTGACAAAGAAATGATCAGTCTATAATTTTAATGGTAGGTTTATTTGAACAGTGAGAGACAGAATAACAACAACAAAATCCAGAAAAACGCATGTCAAAAATGTTATAAATTGAAACTGTATATAGTTAGTATACCCTAAAACAGTCAATATATACCCCTACGGTCAGTAAATACTGCTGCAGTCAGTACATACTACTATACAGTCAGTAGGTACTACTATGGTCAGTAGCTACTGCTTTAGAGTCAGTAGATATTCCTATAGAGTCATTAGATACTGCTATACAGTTAGTATTTACTACTATAGCCAGTAAATACTACTATAGAGTCACCACATACTACTATAGAGTTAGTAGTTACGATTATAGAGTCGGTAGAAACTACTATAGGGCCAGTAGATACTACTATGCTCAGTAGTTACTACTACAGTCAGTATATACTACTGTAGGCCCAGTAGATACTACTACGGTCAGTAGATACTGCTATAGAGTCAGTATATACTACTATAGAGTCATTAGATACTGCTATACAGTTAGTAGTTACTACTATAGTCACTGGATACTACTATAAAATCAGCAGATACTACTATAGAGTTAGTTGCTACTACTATAGAGTCGGTAGATACTACTGTAGGGCCAGTAGATTCTACAGCGGTCAGTAGTTGCTACAGACAGTAAATACTACTATACAGTCAGTAGCTACTACTGCCTCAGTAGATACTACTGTACAGTCAGTTGATACAACTACAGAGTACATAAATACTACTTACACTGTTGTATGTAGGGTGTGTACGTATATATACCTACGTGGGGATAAATATTTTTTATGAGGGGGGGGCGTCGACAATTTTTGCAAATCTTTTACATCAACTATTTACCCTCCACTTTCTATAACTTTTGGGACTTCTGCAAGCCTCTTATAATTCTGTTCGTTGATACATGCGCAAACGGCCCACCGGGCTTTCACAATTGCTTGGTATCTGTGTATGGATATGTTAGATTTTTAAGAGTAGTTTTGAAAAAAAAATTTTGCCAGGGCAACGCCGTGTACTTCCCGCAGTATAATATATATTCCTAGGGCTATTGCTGACCGCAACATTGCGATCATAATGATAAAATAAAGAGGCGAACAAGGGCAGGATAGAGTCCTTATGAGAAGGTGAGTTTGACAAGGAAAGAAATGCAAGCAATGGTGCTTGAGTAAGGAAGCTTCAATGAGTGCACATAACAAAAGGATCAGAAACATTGACATTGACAAAACAGAACACAACTTGAAAAGTGTGCAAAGCAGCATGGAGAGATGTTTGCTTGGAAAAAAACACGTCACCCAAAATTTCAGGTGGACACAATTATGTTTATTCAACTACAAAGTGTAACAGCCCTTTTTTAAATATATGTATTAGATGTAAACAAGTACTGCCGTCTTTGTTGTGATGGAGTCCATTTGTCTCGGAGTGTATCTGGATTTGCAACAACAACAGCAACAAAAACGATGGCCATTTTTCTAAATAAACATTTACGAAAATATCAAACTTATCGTTAGCATTGTTGTGGACAATATAAATAACACGACATAATAAGACAATATGCTTTATTACCATATCTATCCGTCCACATAAAAAAAAGTATTCTTTTAAACATCCCATCAGCCACGCAACCTTGTGAGAATGCATATAGTATAAGCAGCATGAAAGACCATATATATTAGGCATGGGTTCTTGTTTGATGCAAAACATGCCGAAAAGCCCTTGCCAATTCAGAATAATTGGTTTAAACAAGCCTGAATCTGCTGATGAGACACGCATTGTTGAAACTGGCTCAGAGTTTTGTTTATGATGAACCAATACTGCTGAAATTATGCACTCCCAGGAGGCCATTTAGCTCGTGGAATATGTAACAAAAATACTTCTTATTTTGTGGAGGGGGACAGATATGGGAATTAGGCGTACAGTATTGTAGGCATATATTAATGCCTGTGCAATTGCGTGAGAATGTAGGCATCTGTGGCAGCCCTAAAAGCATGCCGTCTCAGGCTGCCGCAGCATGCATGGCACGTGTCTACGAAGGCGAAACCTTGGTAGCGTCTTACCATTGCGCCACCCCTCGGGACCGACAATCACGCGGCGAGTCCCCAGAGAGTGGCGGGGCCGTCTGGAAAAGAGACAGCGGCAAATGTGGGCCCTGAGGGTCGGCGCAGGTGGCATTTGAAAAGGGCAAAGTGTGGGCCCAGCGGGCAGCCTGCCAGCATCGAAGTCAGCACAGCGCTGGTCCTGCTCGGAGGCCAGGTCCCTGTATACACGGTAAGAAAAGATTTTGACAATCGTGTATATTTTGTACCCAGAATGGGTAACACAATTTAATAAAATATATTACTTCACAATTGTAACAAGCGGTATCGTGTTGTTTACACTCCTGTACTTCATGGGACCTCCTTTGCCAGCACGAAAATATGAGAATAGGTTTTACCCTTTTTTCTGGCAACTAAACAGGTGTTAAAATGTTAAAACACCAAACTGACACCTTTAACAAGGAATCATGTCTGCATTAACCACAATACTTGTGATCAGAATGCAAACAAAAACGTACTCTGATAATATATGCATTGTCTTTGAAACTGATTGGTTCACACCAGCCTCGTCTCAAAACGGTGTTCGACCAGAGGACGCCAAAAGGCTCTCTTTATCCTATAACGTCCTGTGGAGCTCTCACAATCTAGCCACTCTCTTTCCTTTCCAGGCTTATATCAACTCTCCTACTCCCTTAATTGCCCCAACCGACAGCCTCGTGGCTGCCCATCAACTGCCCCAACTGACAGCCCCCTGCTGCTGCTTGTGTAGCTCTACAGTCTACACCATGACACTAACACAATGTCATATGTACCTCTGGTACCCCATAAGTGTGGCCAAGATGCTTGCAGTGACAAATAACCAGTGTATACGCGATCGCTTGTGTTGTGATCGAAACATCGTGGTTTTTAAAAATTATTTTTTCTTTTATTTGAATTACCAAAAGGACCAAGAATAAGTCTACATTATAGACTGCCAGTACGCTCAATCAGGTTAAGAACCGGGCTACAGTCTACATTTGTGACTGCCAGTACGGTCACTCAGTTTAATAACCATTGCTACAGTCTACATTATAGACTGCCAGTACACTCACCCAGCTTAATAACCAGGCTACAATCTACATTATAGACTGCCAGTACACTCACCGAGGTTAAGAACCAGGCTACAGTCCACATTATAGACTGCCAGTACACTCACCGAGATTAAGTACCAGGCTACAGTCTACATTATAGACTGCCAGTACACTCACCCAGCTTAATAACCATTGCTACAGTCTACATTATAGACTGCCAGTACACTCACCCAGCTTAATAACCATTGCTACAGTCTACATTATAGACTGCCAGTACACTCACTCATATTAAGAACCAGGCTGCAGTCTACATTCGTGTTTTTTTTATTCACTTTCTTTTTATTATTATGTTTCTATCTACGTGGCTTTACCGACAGAATCAAAGAATATGAATTCCTGCAGTCACGAAAGTTGTAAGTCAAAATTTATAGTGTGTGAGTTGAGGGGCGGGGTGTGTGTGAGTTGAGGGGCGGGGTGCGTGTGGGTTGAGGGGCGGGGTGCGTGTGGCTTGAGGGGCGGGGTGTGTGTGAGTTGAGGGGCGGGGAGCGGGTGGGTTGAGGGGCGGGGAGCGTGTGGCTTGAGGGGCGGGGTGTGTGTGAGTTGAGGGGCGGGGTGCGGGTGGGTTGAGGGGCGGGGTGTGGGTGGGTTGAGGGGCGGGGTGTGTGTGAGTTGAGGGGCGGGGAGCGGGTGGGTTGAGGGGCGGGGTGCGTGTGGCTTGAGGGGCGGGGTGTGTGTGAGTTGAGGGGCGGGGTGCGGGTGGGTTGAGGGGCGGGGTGTGTGTGAGTTGAGGGGCGGGGTGCGGGTGGGTTGAGGGGCGGGGTGTGTGTGAGTTGAGGGGCAGGGTGCGGGTGGGTTGAGGGGCGGGGTGCGTGTGGGTTGAGGGGCGGGGTGTGTGTGGGTTGAGGGGCGGGGTGCGGGTGGGTGAGGGGCGGGGTGCGGGTGGGTGAGGGGCGGGGTGTGTGTGGGTTGAGGGGCGGGGTGTGTGTGAGTTGAGGGGCGGGGTGCGGGTGGGTGAGGGGCGGGGTGCGGGTGGGTGAGGGGCGGGGTGCGGGTGGGTGAGGGGCGGGGTGCGGGTGGGTGAGGGGCGGGGTGCGGGTGGGTGAGGGGCGGGGTGCGGGTGGGTGAGGGGCGGGGTGTGTGTGGGTTGAGGGGCGGGGTGCGGGTGGGTTGAGGGGCGGGGTGCGGGTGGGTTGAGGGGCGGGGTGCGTGTGGGTTGAGGGGCGGGGTGCGGGTGGGTGAGGGGCGGGTGTGTTACCTCGCGCACGTGACCGCCGGGCGAGTGACGCCATGCTTGCGGAAGTGAGAGTGGCGCGCGAGCGAGCGAGCGAGAGGAGTGCGCAGGAGACACGCGGAGCCCCGGGCGGTGAGTGCGCCGCCTCCTGCTCCTCCTCACCCACCTCCCTCCACGCATTCTACCCCTGCTGCCCGCGACTGTGATGATGGTTAATTGTGAGACTCCCCTCTTACTCCTCCGTGCAACCCCGCACGGACGAAGAGGGGTCCCCGTTGCCCGTCGCGCTCCCCGTGTTCCCGCCGATTTGTAGGCTCTCTGCCGGCTCCCCCAGCTCCCCGTGCTGTCCCAGCTCCCCCAGCTCCCCCCTTCTCTCCCCAGCTCCCCCAGCTCCCCAGCTCCCTCCTCCCCCTCCTCCCCCAGCTCCCTCCTCCTCCCCGTGCTCTCCGTGCTGTCCCGGCTCCACCGAGGAGTTCCGCGCACTGCGCCGGCTGCCGACCCCGGTGCCCGTTTCCCGCCGCACGACAGCGCGAGAGAGACTTGGTGAGGGTGACGCGGTGAGAGAGACGCGGTGAGGGAGACGCAGTGAGAGAGACTTGGTGAGGGTGAGACGCGGTGAGGGAGACGCGGTGAGGGAGACGCGGTGAGGGAGACGCGGTGAGGGAGACGTGGTGAGGGTGAGGGTGACGCGGTGAGAGAGACTTGGTGAGGGAGACTTGGTGAGGGAGACGCGGTGAGGGAGACGCGGTGAGGGAGACGCGGTGAGAGACACGCCGCGAGAGAGACTTGGTGAGGGAGACGCGGTGAGGGTGACGCGGTGAGGGTGACGCGGTGAGGGTGACGCGGTGAGGGTGACGCGGTGAGGGTGACGCGGTGAGGGTGACGCGGTGAGGGAGACGTGGTGAGGGTGAGGGTGACGCGGTGAGAGAGACTTGGTGAGGGAGACGCGGTGAGGGAGACGCGGTGAGGGAGACGCGGTGAGGGTGAGGGGGACGTGGTGAGGGAGACGCGGTGAGGGAGACGTGGTGAGGGAGACGCGGTGAGGGAGACGCGGTGAGGGGGACGCGGTGAGGGAGACGCGGTGAGGGAGACGCGGTGAGGGAGACGCGGTGAGGGAGACGCGGTGAGGGGGACGTGGTGAGGGTGAGACGTGGTGAGGGTGAGACGTGGTGAGGGTGAGACGTGGTGAGGGTGAGACGTGGTGAGGGTGAGGGGGACGTGGTGAGGGTGAGACGTGGTGAGAGAGACGCGGTGAGAGAGACGCGGTGAGAGAGACGCGGTGAGGGAGAGACGCGGTGAGGGAGACGTGGGGTGACATTGGCCGCTACGCGCAGCGCGAACCACCGACGCATTGGCGGTGGCGGCGCGGATGCGTGCGGTGAGCCGCGGTTGTAGTTGTGGTTGTTGTTGCCAGTGTGTGGTTGTGGTGGTGTGTGTGGTTGTGTGTGTGGTTGTGGTGGTGGTGTGTGTGGTTGTAGTTGTGGTTGTTGTTGCCAGTGTGTGGTTGTGGTGGTGTGTGTGGTTGTGTGTGTGGTTGTGGTGGTGGTGTGTGTGGTTGTAGTTGTGGTTGTTGTTGCCAGTGTGTGGTTGTGGTGGTGGTTGTGGTGGTGTGTGTGGTTGTAGTTGTGGTTGTTGTTGCCAGTGTGTGGTTGTGGTGGTGGTTGTGGTGGTGTGTGTGGTTGTCGTTGTGGTTGTTGTTGCCAGTGTGTGGTTGTGGTGGTGTGTGTGGTTGTGGTGGGGTCTGTGCCTGGTTGGTTGCGGCTCCGCGCTGCGACCCCGCCGGGCCGAGTTGGATTCCTCGCTCACGGCCAACACCGAGTGGCGATTGTCCGGACCGGTGCTGGGCCTCGCTTAGGTCGACTCGGCCTCAAATGAGGGGTGGGGAGACGAAGGCGGCCGGACGTGGTGAGGTTGACCAATCGTAGGTGCGAGTCGCTGACGGCACTTGCCCCATGAGGCTATGAAGGCTACACGGAGGGGATCTTTGTCTTTGCTTGCTCGAGCAGCCCAGCACGGGTTGGGGGGGGGGCTGCTTTAGGGGCCGTGCTTGTAAGGGCCTCCCCTAGGTTGACTCAGCCTCACATGGGTACCTGGTGCGGTGTGCAGTTAACACCGCCACTGGGGAGACCAAGGCGGCCGGGCGTGGCGTTGGGCCACCCACGCTTTCATGCGCCGTGGCGGCTTTCATCGGTGCTCGCTATAACTGCACTTGCCCCACCAGTCGTGTTAAGGCTACACCGAGGGGGGGGGATCTTTGTCTTTGTGATGACCGGGCCAGGAATGAGCCGCCGCCGGCTCTCTGTGACATCTGTCGCGGCCGTCTTCTCGTGGCACTGCGGTGGTGGCTGCTGTGGTAGTCAGCAGCAGCAGCCTCCCCACCAGTAGCAGAGCCACCAGCAGAGCCACCCCACCAGCAGGGCCACCAGCAGAGCCTCCCCACCAGCAGAGCCTCCCCACCAGCAGGGCCTCCCCACCAGCAGGGCCTCTCCACCAGCAGCAGGGCCACCCCACCAGCAGCGGGGCCACCCCACCACCAGCAGGGCCACCCCACCAGCAGCGGGGCCACCCCACCAGCAGCAGGGCCACCCCACCAGCAGCAGGGCCACCCCACCAGCAGCAGGGCCACCCCACCACCGGGCAAGGCTCGTTTACAGCCACCCGCGGTCGATCCGTGGTCGATCCGTGGTCGTGTGCCCCCACGACAATACGGCCTCAGTCGCACAGCGCCGGGTGTGTCTGCATGTGTATTGTGTGCTGATTATTTACTCCACAACGCGCGTTGTGGTGTATCATCATGCACTTGGAGTCTGCTCGGGTTCCCTTGCCTGTAGAGCGCCTTGCGGCGACTTCTGCAGTCTTCACTTCCTATGAGACACCGAATGTCAAAACCGGCCCCAGGAGGTCCTAACCGTACAGTATTAAGCGCATTTTTTTAGCAAACAATTATGGCTGTGAAGCCGATTGGGATGTGGGACAACAAATATTTCCACATGGGAATTTTACACGTATCGTCTGCTTGTATATATTTCGTGCACATTCTGCCAGATGCAAAACTCCACTCTGCTCCGGTAATGATTTTCTTCCGGTAATAACGAGCGTGATGAATGCCGAACAGCAGCTACAGCAAATCGATCTTACTCCATTTAAAAATTAATTATTCTCTTTTAATTATAACGCGCAAGACTCCGCAGTACAGGCGGCCCCGTTAAGCGAATCCGTTATTGAAACCTAGATATCAAATCTAGAGCGCATCTACAGTGAATTAAAACATTTTAAATAAATCTACTGTGTTTTTATACTAAAATGATGTGTGCTGCGTTCGTTAAAACAAGGAGCGTTCGCGAAGTAAATGTAAGTTTTTATAACGAGGCCAGTCAATGTACGACGATGGGAGTGAGGTTTGGATTATGCGTTCATTAATGGCAAACATTCGCAGTGCCCTTGCACTGCGAATGTTTGCCATTAATGGACGCATGCGCATTTTTGTCCGGTTTTTATACAAAATATAAATTAAGCAATTACTCTGGTTCTCTTGTGTAGTTCCCCGTAGTTACACATTTAAGTATATAGTAAACTCGTACAATGTATTTTGAGCATCCTGATACCCTGTAAAGATGCAAAAGGGCAGAAAGCTAATTCGAATATGCTTGATCATTTTCCTTCTCTACGCAGCAAAGCCTCGCTGATCCTGGTCATTGCACACCGCACGTGGCGTGATCGTGGTCATTGCACACCACACTTGGGGCGATCGTGGTCATTTCGCTCCGCAGTCATTATCAAGGCGATCGCTGGATTCGAACTGCGAACTTCAGCAAACGCGCTACTGCTCGGCCTGTCACCCCTCATGATTGAAAGTAGTTTTCAAGAAGGCAGCTTGGGGTGTTTCTTCTGCGACTTTTAAAGTTCTGCGATAGGTTGCTTTGTCTGATCTAAGTGTCAAAGACAAAACCCTCTGGCAGGTCCCCTTGCCTGGTGCTGCATAGGAATCGCGCCTGCACTTCGTGATGTGACACGAAAGCCACACTGCGTGCCGTGCCGTCTGCTCTCTGCGAAGTGCCGCTTCCTTTACGATGCTACGACGCATCGTAAAGGAAGCCACTGCCACACAGGCATATTGTGGTTCATGTTTATATGGCTCTGTGTGATCATTGTACGTGTTCGGGCTTTGCTATTTCACTCTCGCAGAGTAACTTTATCTGTCCTTTTTAACAAAAATTATCCTTTTCCTGACCCAATTTCTGCTCCAGTAAGATATTTGCCAAACATTCGAAGCCCAGACGATTAATTGTGAGAGTGCCGTACTCAAAGGGAGTATTGTGCGATGGTTAACTTTATTGTTTTGATGCATGAAATGAAAAGCAAACAAAAAATTACCGTGCATCTTTGCAGCTGTGGAGCAAAGGGGTGGATGAACACTTTAATGTGGCACGGCACTTTCAAGGGCACCTCTTCCTCCTCCCTCCTCCGTGTTGCTGGCTCCATGTATGATGTGAACTCGACTTTACACAACGTCTCTTTGTTTCCTCGTCTCTTCTGCAACTGTATACTTTTTGCTCCACTCTATTTTTAAACTGTTTCTCAGCATCTTTTAACGCTTCCCCCACTCGACCTGCATTTCATGAAAATGGAAATCGTTTCAACTTATGTCTCTCGTTCAGTTTGCCCCCTCAGAATGTTACATGCCTAATCATGGGCAATTGTAGCATTACGCACTTCACGTTTTTTTTCTTAGGTCTATCATTTATCATGGCCAACAGGGCCTGGTGTTGGATAGAACTTTGAAGGTAAAGCTAGGTAGACTGAACAGAGATCATCCTAAATTACAAAAGAAAATCAACACATTCGTGAATGTCACTGCGTTAAAATGTTAAAGTGATTTTCTGCTCAATTAAAGCTAGTGGCGGAAATTCCACATTCCTATGGTGGTGCGGAGGGGGATGTCAACAGCAGCGATAATCGTTTTCGTTTTAGTCGGTTGTATTAATTTACGAAAGAAGTTCTACATACATACATTGGGGGGCACGGGGGGTGGCAGAGGGGGGAGGGGCTTGTTTGGCTAGTGCTCTTCACAAATTTTCAGAGGGGGAGGCCACTTTCGCGAATAAGACATCACCGGCATGAGGGCCGCCACACCGCCTGCAAAGGGGCCTTTTCACTATTTGTGTATTGTGGGGGGGGGGGGGGGGGCGCACATCAGGGGGCCGCCACTAAAGGCCACCGGGCTCGCGGATAAGAAAATGAAAACACTGTGTAACAAAAACATATTTTTTTTTGTTCCTGGGTAGTAATTGTTAGTTTCTCATTGCTTATGCCTCAAAAGTACAGAAAATCGCTATTATTCCCCACAAACTTTGCTTTTGTGACCAGGACAGGAATTATAGACATTTTTATATACTTTTTAGGCATAAGCAATGAGAAAATAACACTTACTACCCGGGAATAAATATCGTGTTACATAGTGAAATCCACTTTAGTTACACAATGTTACTGAATGTCTATACATGTGTATTAGTGTGCATGTTTCGGTGTGTATATGGTGTGTT